AAAACTTTAGTTTTGAATCAATTTTTGTGCCATTTTTCGTTGCAGCTCCAATCTCTTCTAAAGCTTGTTTCCAAGAACTGATCGAGAGCTAAAAATGTAAATATTTACATCGCTAACATCAGCAATTGATATATTTTAACAATTTGCTCCCATTGGAACAGGCGGTGCCGGTGTAATTAATTAAAGAAATTTCGACATTTTTGCGCCACTTTTGGTTTTTGCACCATGCTCCTCTAGAGCTCCAGTCTAAAGAACCTTTTCAGGCATAAGAATGCCAACATCAACAATGCAAAGAGCAACCTTCGGTTTTCTGGCGGTATAAGTTTGGTTCTATTGGAACAAGTGGTACCTTTGGAATTAAGTTTGAAACTTTGGACAATTTTCCGGTGAGTTTTCATTGTTGCATCATGCTCTTCCTGCTTCCATTTCTAAGGAACCAGTTGAGATATCGGAGTTCACACAATATTGGTGAAACGAAGAGACTTCAATTGACGTGTATTGTAAATTTCGTTTGACTAAAAGAAGCAGTGCTTTCGTAATTAATTTTGGAAGTTTGGATCATTTTTGCCCAATTTTTCGGTCTTGCAATGGCTCTTGGCATCAATGCCGGACAGTAGCACTCGATAGAGAAAGCTTCAGTTTAATCTACTAAGTGCAAAAATCAAGTCTGAGGCGAAATTTGACTGGAAAACTTTCAGGTTGTTGCTGATTGTTTTCTATAGGCTGGAAGAATTTCAAGCCTCTATTTGCTCCCGATTCAAAGACAAGAATTTTAAATTGTTTTAAATGTAGAAAACATCAGGTTCCAAAGCGATGAGTCTAAAATTATTAGGCTTTTACAACCCAACTGTAGCCAACAGGTAGAAAAAAAAGAATAAAATCTGCTTCTTGCTCTCGTTTAGAGGATATTAATTTTTAAACGCTTGTCTTGAGTGAAACTGAACACTTTTTCTTCAAACTTCACTTTCAGCAGCAAATTGCTCTATAAACTAACATAAACGAAATAACTTCGGAGAACCGAGTGTAGGTAACTTCTAGAAGTAAAAAGAGGAAATCAAACGCATTTCAGTAACCGAGTTTTATTCCTAATTTAACGTATAGTTTTTATTTACTTCAACATGTGGTTTTGAGGACTTTGAAGCAGCTAAACAATGGTTTTATTGGTTTTGTTCACCTTGGCTATAATGAGACCCTCCGAAGCGACGCCGCAGTATATAAAGAACAGGCAACAGATGAAGATGAAGAGATACAAGCAGAAGATCGCCATTATAGCCAACTGATGGCGTCATTCTGATGATGGATCGCTGGTGTTGAGCGACATCGTGGGCTGCCGTTCGTATCTCCTCTTCGGCTTCAACTTCTCCTTTGCCGGTTTGTACTCTTCGCTTTCACTTTCTTCTGAAAGAGGCGCCTCCAGTCGCTTTTGTCCTCTGGTTTCTCTGTCGGAGCGTCTCAGCTTCTGCTTGTTTCTTCTACTGGGACTTTCGTCCTCGTCCCGATTTTTGGAGGGTAATTTCTTCGGGTGCCTGATGCTGGTGCGAGAACTGCCCGTTGAATACCCCGTGTCCTTCCTCAAGCTTTTGTTGGGCTTTCTATTAAAAAAATATAAAAATGTAAAGAATCTGGAAAAAGTTGAGCATACTTTTTGCTTCTTGCGCTCTCCTCGCTATCGGCTGCCTCCACGTTGTCCTCAAAGTCCGCAACTTTCCGACTCCGATGCCTTCTGCTGCCCTCCAGGCTGCGCTTCCTGCCACTTTTCCGCCCTCCAAACATATCTCCTTTGGAGATGATGGAAATGTTGGAGAGCTCAACGTCGCCCTGTTTCTTAGAGTGTTCGCTGTGGACCACATAGAGCCGATAGAGCTGCAGCAGAATCACCAGCGTATTCTTGCAGGTGAAGAACACGTTCATGTAGCTGATGATTTTAAAGTGGGTGATCAGCAGCAGGCGGAAGACCAAGAACGGGGCGTCTTGAAGGGTGATATTGAGGGCGATGCCCCACACATCGATGGTGCAACAGCTCTCCGACCTGAAACAAATAGTGCGCATTTTCCTGTCCAATTTCCATTCGTTTTTTTCGCGAAAATCGTTGTCAGTTCGCCAAATTGCGTTCCTACTTGTCGTTTAAATATAAATGGACGACGACCGGCCTGCTGGCTGTTATTTATTGGCCGGTGGCAATGATAATATGAATGTCTAAAATTAGGTTTTTGCACTTTTCTCGAGAAAACTGCTTCAAAAATCTGCAGCTCATTTTAGAGTCGAGTGACCTCTATGGAGCTCTAAAATTTCAAGCTCCTACCTGCTCTAGATAGGGAGAGGGGATGCTTTAAAGGAGAGTGTGTAGTTGGATAAAGTAACGAAAATTTGGCCAGAACTTAAAAAGTTGGCAAAAATCAACGTTCACTGCAATTTGGCTGAGATTTGGTTGATTTTTCGACCTATCGATCTTCTTTAAGCAGGGCAAATTCCAAATGCTTACCTGCTCCCGACTAAAAGTTAGGATTTTTTAACTAAGGAGCGTGCATTTGATTGGAAACTTTCATTTCAGGTTCAGAAATTATGCAGCAGTCAAACAGCAAGTTACAGTGCAATTTTAAAAGTTTCTAAACTTTTAAGGTTCAAGTTATTCCTATAGGCTGTGCAAGTTTCAAGTTGTTACCTGCGATGGATTGAAGGATACACGTTTTTGAACAAAGTGGGTATTTAAGCAAAAACCGCCGTTCTAAACCTTCATTTTTCGAGCAAGAAAAAATCAGTTTTAGCGGCAATATCAGTTAAATTATTAGCGTTTCTTGAGTGAAATTTCGTCTGTATAATGTGCAAAGATCAAATTGCTACTTCCGAAAATGGAAAAGCTACGTGGGTGGCTAAAGTGAGTGTGCGGTTAGCACAAGTCCTCCGTTTTGAAAGCCGAACTCGCTAAGTTGGTAAAATCAGCACTAGAAGCAATTTGACTGGAGTTTCCCAGGTTTTCAGGTATAAGAATCTTCTATAAGGTGTTCAAGTTGAAAGTTGTTTTGAGTTGCGAATTCAAAATAAAAAAAAAATAAATCAGTTCACTATTGAGTAAAAATTAGCAGTTTTATACTAGCATTTAAAAAATGGACAAAAATCGTATTGGGAAACGACTTCAATGAAACTTCCACAACTTACAGTCAAGTGTCTTCTATAGGGAGCACAAGTTTCAACATGCTCTCCGTCATGGACTAAACGAGATTATTTTTTGAAGAAAGTTGTGCACTTTCGTGAAAACCTCCATTGCTAAACTTGCATTTAACCAGTACAATAAATCAACTTTACCCAAGAATTTTAAATAAATTGTTCGAGTTTTTAGAGTCGCACATCGTCTATAGGGTGTGCCAACTTGCAGTTGCTACCGGCTCTGGATAAAAAGTTACAAATTTTTCAATGTCTTCCATTTATTAGCGAAACACTTTCATCTTTCACTTACAAAGTTGGCAAAAATCAGCGTTTCTCGGAATTTTACTGCAATTATGAGGATGTTTAAACTAAAGTATCTTCTATAAAGTGTACAAGTTGCAAGTTGCAACCTGCTCCAGATTCAAAAAAAAATATGAAAAAATAGGTTCACGTTCAGTGAAAACTTACAGTTTTCGACCAGCATTACTTAGTCAAGTGGGCAAAAATCAGATTGAAGAGCGATTTAAAAAAAAATCCCATGACTTATAGAGCCAAGTGTCTTCTATAGGGTGCACAAGTTTCAACATGCTTTCTGTTATGGACTAAACGAGATTATTTTTTGAAGAAAGTTGTGCATTTTAGTAAAAACCTCTATTGCATTTCTCGCATCCTCCTCGCATTTAAACAGTGCAAAAAATCAACTTTACCCAAGAATTTTAATAAAATTGTTCGAGTTTTTAGAGTCACACCTCGTCTATAGGGTGTGCCAAATTGCAGTTGCTACCGGCTCTGGATAAAAAGCTACGAATTTTTCAGACTTATTATTAGGGAAATACATTCATTTTTAAACCAGAACTTACAAAGTTGGTAAAAATCAGCCTTTGATGCAATTTTACGAAAATTATGTGGGTTTTTAGACTGGAGTATCGTCTATAGTGTGGCTAAGAATTAACAGTTTCGAATATTAAATAAGACATCTATTTTAAAAAAGACAAAAAGTAATTTTCAGGCCAGCAATTACAGAAGCTTCAGGAAAATTTGCGCAAAAATTCGCTTTCACTGCGATTTCAACAAAAATTTCAAATTTGTAAACGTAATTATTTTCTATAGGGTGTGCCAGTTTAAGAATTATCCCTGCTCTGAATTAAAAGTTACGAATTTTTAGAACGAGCGCAATGTTGAGTGCAAGCTTCCATGTTTAGACCAGCTTTCACAGACTTGGCAAAAATCCGCTTAACCAGAAAATTGAAAGAGACTTTAACGATTTATAGAGTCAAATTTCTACTATCGGATGCGCCAGTTGCAACTTAGTAGCTGCTAGTGATTGAACGAGACAATTTTTTTCAAAAAGGGGTGCAGTGAAGTGAAGTTGTCCATTTTTAACCCTATTTTTATAAGGGCAGAAAAAAGTCAGGTTTCACGCTATATAAACTAAGTTAGTAGAGCTTTCAGAGCTGAGGCTCTTCTATACGGTGTGCAAAATTCCAGAAGCTACCGGTTTTCGATGAGGAGTTACATTTTTTTAAAGAAATTGTGTTGTTTTGGCACTATTTCAATTATAAGCCAGGATTTACAAATTAGGCCCAATTTGACTGAAACTTCTGATATTTTTGGAGTAAAGCATCCTCTA